TTCAAGCCCTATCTTACTCTATTTCCCTTCATGAATTCTATGTTTTAGCCAACCATGACTGTAAACATTCTATCTAGCCCAACCCATACCTAAACAAGAATTCCATATATGGAATCAAGAGGTGATCTAGCTAGAAGACAAGCAAAGAGTAGAAACATTATTTTTTGATGAAAGCACCGGTTTGGATACCTCTAACTGTTGGAAAATTCTTTATATCAAGACTAAACCTATCTTGCACCCAATATACCCAGTTCTGCCCTCTGGAGCAAACAGAATTGTCTAATTCCATTTCCATATAATAGCTTTCAGGATGTTCCTCTAACTCTTCTTTTTACCAGGCTAACTATTTCCACTCCTTCCACTGATTATCATACTTGTTGCTGTTTAAAAAAAAAATCAATATAAATCATCTATGCCCTTCATAAAATATAATTCCCCAAAGTGAATATAACACTTAAGGTTTATTCTGATCAGGGCAGAGTACAATGAAAGTTTACCTGCCTCATTATGGACATAATGCCTGTTTTAATGGAGCCTAGGATAACAAAATATTTGGAGGTCCATAAAATGCCATTGAGTCTGGTTTGTTATCAAAAGAGGTATCAAAGGCACTAAGGAAGATAACAGGAATCAGTATTTATTTTACTTATGTCAGACTCTTTTAGGGAAATAGCTTTCATCTAACTAACATGTAGCAATTTGAAGATTAAAATGGCTTTGCTCAAAATAACTGTCATAGATAAATAGTATATACACCTGTTATTATCCTTGTTTTACACATGAAGAAACTCAGATAGGTTAAATGACTTGTCTTTGATCAAAATGTTTATACATGTCAAAGGCAGGAATAAATAAAACCCAAATATGTCTTCACCCTAATTCCATCTTTTATATTACTTAATATATGTATGTGAGCACATATGTATATATGCAAAAAAAGATAGATACGTATGTGTATATGTATGTACATTAGCAGAAAATTAAGGAGATATGGATTTACTTTTTCCATTAAATAGTTATGGACAGCTTTGGGGAAATCTAGCCATGTTCTGAGATGGTGAGTTCATATAAATGACTTTGTTCCTACCTTTAAAGCTCTGTGATTCCAAGTTATAAAGTAATTATTAAATTAATTCACAAGAAAAAGGTTTATTGCTTAATGTGCAATTCTTGGTGTAGCTCAGTGGTATAGTGGAGAGAGCATTAGACCTGGAAAACTCATCTTCATCATTTGAACTCATTCAAATCTGGCCTCAGACACTTACTAGCTGTGTGACCCTAGGCAAGTCACTTAACCCTGTTTGCCTCAGTTTCCTCACCTAAGAGATGACCTAGAGAAGGAAATGGCACGCCACTCCAGTGTTTTTGCCAAGAAAATCCTAAATGGGGTGATAAAGAGTTGGACACGAATGAAACAACTCAACAACTACAAAAACTAATTAGAACCCAGGAATCCATTGATAGGTGTAAGGGAATCAACGAATTTTAATATAGATAGATAACATTTCAACATATTTGGAGTTTTTTGGTAATCCTATGTATTTTATGTTACACATTTAACAAAATTATTCTTAGAAGGGGCGGTGGGTTTCACTAGCCTGCCAAAAGGGTCCATGACACCATAAAGGTTAAGAATCTCTACTCCATGAGGGCTACTTTTCCCTCCTATGTGCCCTTTCTCCTAAAATAATTGTAATGAAGTAATCTTCATTACATCTTGAAACTATACCTTTAAAAGTTATAAAGGATCATGTAGTAATTGAATTCGATTATCTTTTTTCATCCTCCATGATTTCCTAGTAGCATCTGATACTACTTATAGTTTTATTGTCTTAATTCTTTGACAGATCTTCTCTGATCTGTGCTGGATTATCTTTTTCCTCATACCCATATTCCTTAATGTAGATCCCCAAGGTTCAACCTTTGCCTTCCCTTCCCAGTCTTTTTAACTTCTTGTATTCTCTACTTTTCACAGTGGTATGAATTGATGGTACTCTCAGTTCTCTACTTCACTTCAAATGCTAGGATTTGCACTAATAACAAAGCAGAGAATAAGTAACCACACTGTCCAATGGAGAAATAAATAATTAAGTTCATGCATAATCCTCTGCTTAATAAACTGAACTTTTGCTAAGATCCGCCACCTTGCCACTGACTTAATTTGAGTCAATCACTTTTAAACTAATCAGGTACTTACACAAGCAAATTTGAATAAGATTAGCCAAAACTGGATACTGTCCTCTTGCTAGCCTATACTACCTCTAAACTTCAATGCTTTGATTTTGACATAATTCTTCTTGAAAATCCCAATAAAATAAATAAATTTTTCCTAAACAATAGAAACCACATGTGTTGTTCAGTTTATTTTTTTTTCTCTCATCAAGCACAGTTTCAACAGAAGGATATGTGTTCCTCATAAATGCCCATTAGCTTTTATAAAGAATTCCATGAAGGACTGTAAGCATACCCTAACAATTATGTAAACAAAGAAACCAGGGGTGGAGATTCAGTAAAAAGCTGCAGTTGAGGACCTAGAGGGCCACATGTGGCCTTGAGGCCACAGGTTACCCATCTCTGCAATAAACACATCTTTATTCCTAATCACATTTTCAGTAAAGCTTCATGTTTGTCCACATGGTACTAGAAGTTAGCCAGTTCATTAATGCCCAGGTTGGCTACCTGAAAACCAGACAGAAATAAACAAATCTGACAATTCAATCAATGAATTTTCTGGGAAATTAGCCTTCCATTTACCCTCTTCTAAGACATCATAGCCAAGCTAGAATTCAGTTCAATTCTAGTATTAGTCATAGATTCCAGAAATCGGAATTTACATCCCAGGTCTACCAGTCATGAGTTCTAGGATCATAAGATGATAGGTCTAGAACTGGAAAAGACCTCAGAGACCATCTAGATTCATTTACAGATGGGGAATCTGAGGCTCAGGGAACTTAAGTAACTTGTGCAAGTTCACAAAGGTAGTGTCAGGAATGGGATTTGAACCCAATCTCTGACTTCAGAGCCAGATCTCTTTTCACTGTTTCACAATGCTTCCTATTGCAATGATTAAAAAGGTTTGAGAGACATAGTTTCTGGGTAATTTAAGTATTTTATTAATAAGGCCAGCATGTTTATTAATAAAAGGATGGTCATTTGTCTATCTCTCTTAGACCAAAGACCCCTCATGATGGGTGCCAATCAACAATGATTGGTTAGCATGATAGGAGGTGGGCTATATTAAAATGATGGTCTTGGGGTATGCAAATCTTGGTCAAAGAGACATCAATTTCCATATCAGTTTTCTTGACAAAAAGGAGAATCAATATTTCTCCCAACCTGTCTGAGCAAACATAATGAACAGGGATACAGCCATTAGCCAAACTTAGAATTTCTTTAACTGTGATTAGATGTTGGTCTGGATAAATCACTCATCTATCCATTTTCTCTTTTGAATCTTCTGTAACTTGCTCTCCACTATCTTTTTCCATCTGTTTGCAAACATGCTATCCCATCCTCCTTTCTCTCGGAGAACAAAAAAGGGTAGGTAGTTAAAATCATCCATATGGTGAAAAACAATGTCATTAACCTACTGAAATGTAAAGAAAACATGTATAAAACATGGAAACATGGATAGACAACCAAGGATGAATGCAAAACAGTGGTAAAAAATAGAATCAGGCATAAAATTTAATGTTGCTTAGCCTGTAGAGAAACAAGGACATTTTTATGCTACTGGTAGGATTCTGAATTGCTGCAGTATTTTTAGAAAGCAATATGCCACTCTAGAATAATAGTGACAGAACTGTTCATACCCTCCCTGCTAGGAGTATATCTTGAGATAACTAAGTTGGGGGGGGGGAGAGATCTATATATACAAAAACATTCACAATAGCTTTGAGAGCAAAGGCAGATTTTGTATTTGATTATTAGAATATGGTATAAGAAAGTATGGTTGTTGTGTTCATTTGTGTCCAACTCTTCCTTACCTCAATTGGAATTTTCTTAGCAGAGGTACTGGATTGATTTGCCATTTCCTTCCCTAGCTCATTTTACTGATAAGGAAGCTGAGGTAAACAAGGTTAAGTAACTTGCCCAGGGTCACATAGCTAGTGTCAGAGGTCAGGTTTGAACTCAGGAAGATTAGTCTTCTTGACTCCGGGCCCTCCACTGTATCACCCTGTGCCACCTAGTTGCCCTTAATGAGATATAATTATACCTTTAAAATGGCAAATGTGCAGAACATAAAGAAATATGAAGAGATAGAAAATGGGAAAGCAGACCCAGAACAGAAAGTTCACAGATATGTAAAAGTGAAGATAATTATAATTTTAAAATTACCCCCAAACACTCAAAAAAGAAAAGACCCAAAAGCAAATATAGCATTTATGTCATAAAATTAAATTTTACATTACTAAACAAATTATAGACAACAGTATTTTATATTTTGTGTATGATTATATTTATTTTGTTTAGGTATTTAAATGTCTTTTGTAGATGATTAAAAGGACCTTTGTCTCACTTGGTGGTGTTCTTTATTTTTAATTGATAAATTTTATTTTGGTACAGCAGATTAAAAACAATCCCATAGAAAAATATCCACAAAGTACATTCCCTACACTGAAGCAAAACAACATAAAAGAGAGATGCAAACTAGGTACATTGAATTTGTGTAGTTTACTATTTGTAAAAAAGGAAGGGCCAATTTGTGCTTTTATAACCCTTCACAGGGAGGAGACCACAACTCTAGTAGCCCACGGGAAGAGGCCCAGTTCCTTCCCACTCTCCAACAGCATGTGGAGGAAATCTCACACCCTCAGGGGGGGCAGAGCCTCCCCTGTCCACGCTGCTGCCTGATGAAAGAGCATGGGCTGTGTGAGACTGAACAGAGACACTACAAGGCAGAGCTAGGAATATCCCATCACCTGCTGAGATCTGGACTACCAACCCAAAATCAATGCCTATTGATTCACACCAGCTTTTCTGCAGTTCTTGTGAGTGAAAACAAATTGCTGCCTAAGAGTAAGTTATGCCCCTACGCCCAACCCCTACTTTCCTTTCTGTGATCCACATTCACCTCAACCAGATTCTTCTCTTTTCTCCTTCCAGTCCTGACCCTTCCCTCCACTTGTGATCTGAGAACCCCATTCCGTAGATTATAAACTCTTCATTTTAGAATCTTTTTCCTCTTCACTTTGTTCCTGTTTTTGCTCGTCTTCTATGAAAATCTTCATGTCTTTTGCAAGGTCAGTGTTGAAAGAAACAATAACCTTTTTTTTTTCATTTAAAGCATTTTTTCCTTGTTCAAGTTTGTCTTATTTATCTTGCTCCACTCCCAAATCTATATTTCAACATAATTTTTCCTTTATAATATAATGAATCTTATTTTATGCATTTAAAATATTATTCTGAGAAGGGTACATCGGTTTCACCAAATTAATAAAGGGTTCCATGATACCCAGAACAATGTTAATGATCAGTGCTTTATATGGGTTCATCTTTTTGTATCTATTTTTTATAGCTACTTGATCTTCCTTTATATCTCTTACTGAGAGATTTCCCACCATCTCCAACCCTACTGGAGATTGCTGCAGTTTTTCCATTCTCTCTTACAGGATTCTATCTATTGCTTTTGTAATTTTTTTTTCCCTTCTGGAGATTTCTCCTCATTTTCTTTTACTTGCTTCTTTTTATTCATTCTGTTGGAAACTTCTGTTTTGTTTTCTCCTTTCCTTATCATGTCTATTAGTTTTTTCTGTATTTTTTTCTATGAAGATTTCTTTCTTTTTGTTTGTATTATTCTCTTGGTTGACTTAACATGTCTGCTGCTGAATTGAGGTGTTGAAAAAACTTGAGTTTATCACAGTCACTCATTCCAGCATTTTACCAGAACTATTCCTCTCGAGTTTTTTGTTTTGTTTTGTTTTGTTTTTCTTACTACTAACTTTAGAACAATTATAACAACAAAACAGCATTAGAAAGTTAAAACCTAGGATGAGCTATGGCTTGAAATAAATGTTAGAAGCATTATTAAGGACTTTATTAGCCATGTTTGGGGTAAGAGGAAGAACAAGGAAGTGTTAGCACTCCTGCTTAATGTAAGTGGAAAGATGAAACTGGACAATGGAAAGGAGGACTTTGACTCATCTCCATCAGAGAAAATATTCTTTAGTCTGAGAAGGACAGAGCAGACCTGATTAGGGGGGATCTGGAACCCCCATTAATCAAGGAAGGCAAAGGTTAAGTGGTTTACCCAGGGTCCTATAGCTAGTAAATGTCTAAGATCAGATCTGAACTCAGGTCTTCCTTACTCCAGGACCAGCACTCTATTTATTGTGCCTCTAGACAGCTGGAATATATTTCACTGACATGGTAAAAAAATGCATAGCACATGATGAATATTGTCCACATTATGACATGTAGTTGAAAGGGGAACCCTTTAAATGAGAGGTATCAAATTCATTAGCATAGCTGAACCAGATTGAAATATAATTAAGAAATGTTTAACAACTATTAAACATTTTTCAATGTTTTAAATTACTATACAACATAGATAAAGTTAACATGTTTTTCTAAGCCAAGATACCTCCCTTGACATTATTGCTTTAAATTACTCAATTACTTTAGGTTACTCAGCAGACATTTTCTATAGGAAAGATGGAGAATGACCTGGGCCACTGGGCCTAGAATTGAATGTTGTTGTTTCTCACTCATTTCAGTTGTTTCTGACTTTTTGTTACCTCATTTGGAGTTTTCTTCACAAAGATAGTGTAGTGATTTGCCATTTCCTTCTCCAGCTGAGGAAACTGAGAAAAACAGGATTAAGTGACTTAACCCAGAGTCACACAGCTAGTAAGTGTCTAAGGTCAGGTATTCCTGACTCTCGGCCTGGCACTTTATCAACAGCTCCACATAGTTGCCCTATAATTGCATAGGAGGGAGAAAATATGTTGAATGTGAAACGTAGTTATTAATAATCAATACCTAGAGGAGATTCAGAGCTTCCCCACCCCCTTCCTTCCAAAGTTCAGACTTTAAGTTCAGTTTTTTTTATTCTTCCAAAGGACTTTACTGATAACGAGATTGTTTTGACTCGCTTATCCTGGTCATCCCAGACCCAAGCTTAATGAGATTGCACTGATTCTCCTTTCTCTAGTCTCTCCCCCACCCAAGCTTGCAAAGAATGCAATCTAAAGTAGGGAAGCCCTTTGTGTTCTGCTCCAGCTTTGAGTGGAACCAGAGTCTGTTGCCTAGATGGCCCAAGGCTGAGAGTGGCTTGGTATTGCTGGGGGTGGTCTGGGACAGAGCATTTTTGTTTTGTTTCGTGGAGGTAAAAAGATGATTGGAGTGACATCAGCCCCTGTTGGAAGGATATATATATAAACTGTACAGTCCAACCCTAGAGTGAGCTCAGTTGCTGACTGCTGCTGCCATGCATTCATATGCCATCTGCTATGAGAGAAATGAGAAATAAAAGTGAATACAGCCCAATTCTGTATTTCTTAGACCAAACTCTGGAGGCTGACATTTATCATACTTATGAAATCACATAGGACTTCTAGGGGTTACCTACAGAGGTTCAATTGACCTTATGATTATTAATTTCAAATGTGGCATAAAACAAGTAGATGTACATCTGTCCAAGATATTTGTCATTGCCATTGGAGATGCCCTGTCACCTAGGGGGGAAAGCACCTCCAGGTGTTCCTACTTGTGATTGATATTGTATCGATTGCACCAAACTTTGCAACAATACATGGTATCTTCAATGCCAGACATCCCATGGTCACTCAAAGAAAAAAAAACCTCTTAATAATGTTGTCCAAACTGACAGGAAGTTTAGTTTTATGGTTGGCCTATTGAGTTAGTACACCAAGTCATATATCTGAGGCAGAAACCATAGGTGGACAATGAGTTGGGCATAGAATTGAGGAAGAGAATGGGTTGGATTTAATTTGGAAAACTGATTAATAATAGTAATAATACTTAAAGTCTATATAGCTCCTGCTATGTGCCAGGCACTAGGCTAAGAGCTTTACAAATATTACCTTATTTAATCCTCACAATAACTCTGTAGGGTAGGTACTATTATTATCTCCATTTTATAGATGAGGAAACTGAAGCAAATAGATTAAATGACTTACTCAGGATTACACAGCTGTCTGAGATAAGATTTAAACTCAGGCCTTCTGGACTCCAGGCTGGTCACTGTGCCCCTTAACTGCCTCATTGGTGTTTTTGATAATCACATGCTACTTGCTCCCTGGTAAGAATAAATAAATAAATAAAGTTTTAAAAAAAAAAAGACATTTTGATTCTTTTAATTTTTAAACTTATTTTATTTTTAATTTATAGAATAAAACATTAACATAGTATAACAAAAAAAGATTATTGCACATGAAGCTTCAAATCTATCATGTACAGCTGGTTATTCCTTTAAAATATATCGTGTTATCATGGAAATTTCTCTTTTTCTTTTGTTTTCCTCCCTCTTACCATAGAGATGGCTACTATTAGACGCATACATACACACACATATATATACAAATACACATATGTAAATACATAAATATATGCATATGTACATATAAAATCATTCTGCACATACTTCTATTTATCAGTTCTTTCTCTGGATACAGATAGCATCTTCCTTCATTTATTAATTTAGGTATAATAGTCAAAATGACTTTTTCACTCAAAGTTCTTAAAACATTACTGTTACCATATACAACATTTTCTTGGTTCTGCTTTTGAAAAGAAATGTTTTCATGACATTATTGTTTGGTTGCAAATCTTGGGACACCTCAATCTCTTAAAAAGTGCTGCAGATGACCCAAAAGGTGATATAGTCATACATGATGAACACATCTAGACTGTAGCATATTTCCAATGATGCTCCAGAAATACCTTAAAAGTCATCATCAAAAACATCAAGTCAGATCAAGAGTAAGAGTTACCAGATGGACAGCCAAGCATTGCAGTGAAATCCACAAAATAGCAAAATGAATAGAAAAAGGCCTCTACTATGTAGGATAGATACTGTGAAGCAGGTTCATGAAAAGACATTGGCAAGAACTGAACAGTAATTGAAAGCATATGTGGGCTTTGTTCTACATTCATTCTTCAATGCAATAATATTCATAAAGGAGGTATCAATTCTGCTAGATTCTAACCTAGTAAGATCATATCAGTGTTATCTACTTCTAGTCATCAAACTTTAGAAGTAAAATTAACAAACCTGTTTGCATCTACAAGAGCACAGCCAGGATGGTAAAGGGACTAGAAACCACATCATTCAAGTTTCAGTTGGAACTAGGTATTTAAAAAAGAGGAAATGTGAGAAGAAATTACAGCTATTTTCAAGTATTTGAAGAATTGTTATCTAAAAATATTAGATTTATTTTGCCTGACTGTGGAGGGCAACCCTATACCAATAAGTCAAAGTAGTAAAAAGACAGATTTAAACACAACATAAGGAAAATTTTGCTAACAAATAGAAGTGTCCAAAATTAGACTAACATGCTTCTATGCATATGACCCTGGGCAAGTCTTTTAACCTCTGTCTGCTTCAGGTTACTCATCTATAAAATTGACATGGTAATAGGACCTACCTCATGGGATTGTTGTGAAGATCAAAAGAGATAATATTTGCAAAGAACTTAGCACCATGCCTGACACATAGTAGCCATTTAACAACTCCATGTTTCCTTCCTTCCTCCTTTCTACCATTCAAGATTTGGGTAGGAGCAGATGAGATAATCTCTAACTTCACTTCCTTCTTTAAGCCTCTGATTTCTAGTTTCCATGTCTAATCAGTTACCAAGTCCTGTCAATTCTACCTTGACAATATCTCTCCCATATGCCTATATTCCTTTCCATTCCCTTCACCACCCTACTTGAGACTCTCATCATCTCTCACCTGGCTTATTGTAACTGCAAACTAGTCTTCTGCCCTTCTCTGGGGCAGCATTTGGTTATGCTGAGAGGTCCTTCTCAAGTTTTTCTGTGCTGAAGCATAGTCA